GTGTGTTTGTAGTGTGTTCAGTTCGGGTGCAGAGAGTGCAGCAGCAGGTCAGACTCAGCATTCAGTCTGTTTCTGTGCTTTGTTTTCATTTTTGTGAGCTCAGAAAATCCTAATTCACACATATGTAGTAGTGAAAGGAATAAGCAGAGCAACACTGGTCCTGCTGTGGACAGGAGATTCTGATGAAATGTTCATCCAGAATGACGATAAGATCACAGATCTATATTGTCTTTGCAGAGTGCGATCTCTCATGTGTCAGATCTGTATATTACAGACCGACATGCAGATCATGACAAGGTGACCCAAACAAAAAAAAAATCTCTTGCGACCCACTTGAGGATCGTGATCCAGTCTTTGGGAAACAATGATTTAAAGGACATGCATTATCCAAACCTGACTTTGTTGACCATTTGACCATGTCTGTTTTCCCCTGGAGTTGTATTTTGAGAAAATGAAAAATACTTATCCCAAGGTGACTAAAAGCATGTTAAAAGGGAGATAAAGCCACACAAAATGCATAATATGTACAACTGTATGTAGCATAACATAAAAAAGGGTATTATAATCACAACTGAACCTTGGATTCCAGTGCACAGACGGTGCACATTTTGATTACTGTATAGTTAGTTAATTTTCTTTAGTAATTTAACATAACATGCATAAATATGACCTGTGTCTCCAGATACAAAGTAAACATGTTCAAAACAAACATTCATTTGACTGATAATAATTATTTTCCATTACAAAACAATGGACATGATCTCATTACTCACACTAAGTCACTCCCCCTTCAGAGCGCTATCACAACACAATCAGCGTACATCCCACTAATGGAACTACTGCACATCACATCAAGTTTGTCAAGTTACTGTGTACAGTTTGTATCATGTTTTTGTGTATTTATGGAGAATAGTCATGTGAGAGCATGGGTGATGTAGACTTGTGGGCGGAGCCTTGCACAGAACCTCCAAAGGGACAGTTCAGAATTTTGGACATAGGGTCTCATTTCCTAGTGAGCCAGAGTACTGTAAATGTGTGGAGACACTTTTTGAAATAATCCATCCAGTCCTTGTATTTGGAGAGGTTGTTGACGCTAGGCTAGTGCATGTCAATGGCCATAGTTAGCCACTAAAAACAGTCTTACCCACTCCACAAAACACCTGAGGCAAATCTATTATTACACCAGACTGACAATGTGAATGTCTGTGTTGATTGATAGAATAATTTTAGAAGTAAAACTAAACTTGTATCACATAAATCGTCGCACATTGAGGGACTTATTTTCTCAGCAGCAGCAGAATTTTACTCTGCTCTAGTTAGTGGTGATGATATGAACGTGGCCATAACTGGAATAGACTTCTTCCTGTCTTCTATGTGTCACTATGGCAACTGCAGGTAAACAAACTATTACAGAGCCGGTAAGACACGTGCTAGGTGATATCAGTCCGCCGCTGCAGAGTTTTCTATCAGGAAGTACAACTCACTGCTGCTGCTCAGACATAAATCCTTCAAATGCAAGTTTGGTTTTACTTCTGAAATTTTTCTATCGACAGTCAGTTGTAATAATAGATTTTCCTCAGGTACACTGTGGAGTGGGTAAGACTGTTTTTAGTGGCAGGATAACTATGGCCATTGACTTGCACTAGTCTAGCACCAGTGACCTCTGCAAATACAAGGACTGGATGGATTATTTCAGAAAGTGTCTCCACACATCTACAGTACTCTGGCTCACTAGGAAATGAGGCTCTATGTCCAAAATTCTGAACTATCCCTTTAAGGAGGGTTTGACTAGAGCCAGAGAGAGATTGCTAGATTCCTCAAACATGCATGGATGACATCTAAAACCATTTCAGGCATGTTTTTGATGAGAGAACAATGTTAGAACATGTCAAAAAGCTAAAATATATATAATGTTTTGTATAATAGCCCCTCTTTAACACAACCAGACCTCAGTTTAGTCACACACTTTTCTCTTGTGCTTCATGTGGTTAACTTAGACATCCAGTCAGACATCTTAATAGCCCCATAAACATAATCGCCCTAATCCTTACAACTATGCACCACCTGCCCATATGTCCCGACATGCATGAAGCCATAAACATGCAACAACACAATCCCCTATATCTCCGACCATAAACAAGACAACCGCACCCACCACAGCAGCCACACCCGCCCTCTCGGGGGCAGCAACCGGCCCTAAGTGGTCTCCCCTCCACCATATCTGTCCAGGATTACCCCCCTAATGCGCAACCCAAACACTGGCTTAGGGGCTGGCGACTGCGGACAGGCCCAGCTCGGAGTCTCTCGAGCGGGGAGAGAGATGTGATGGGCCTGGGCGGAGGTATGGGGTAGCCCTGTTTTATGGAGCTAAATATAAACTGTGCATGTACAGTGGCACGCTGGTTAGGGGTGTCGCCTCAAAGCAAGAAGTTCCTGGGTTTGATTCCCACTCTTTACTATTTGTCCGTATTCAGTTTTATCTTACATTTGTTACTGTCACTGTCTAAAAATTATGTATAAATATGTGTGGATCTTTATGCAAAATGTTTTTAGCTTTCTATCACGTTATAATGTTGTTCCTTCATCAAAAACATGGCTGAAGAGGTTATAGATGTCACCCATGTTTCAGTAACTGAGTGATCTATATCAGGTTGTGATAGGACTCTAAAGGGGGAGTGACTTAGCACGAGGAGCAAAGGGAAGAGAGACTCAGAACGTCAAAAACAAAAGTGAAACATGTTAATATTCTCATTTTCAATACAGTCTGTGCTGGGAAAGTTCATTTTCTACATAAATGAGTGAATAATGGCTTTTATTTGTCAGTTTCTTCTTTGTCAGATTGTGTTGATGTCAATGTTTAGTTTTGGACATTTGTGTTCAGCCCAAATGTCCAAAACTAACCATGCACCATCATTGTTGAAAAACTTGACTTTTACCACAGTCTGGTCTTGGAATGTGTAACTTAGTAAACTTAATGAACTGGACAAAACAGGAACCAGACCAGAATCAGATCAGACCTGAGACTCGACTCTGCACAAATCTACACTTTGTATATTTGATATTATATGGAAGCCTGTGGTTTACATCTGAAACATTTAGGCTCATCTATGAAATCCAAATAATAAAATATTTTACCAAAAAAACAAGATGAACATTTATTTTTTCATAACTTTACTTATGTGCACCCATCAGGTTTCTGAAGCGCAGGAGAGTTCTGACTGTCTGGCCACTGCTGTCTGAGGGTGCACAACCTGTGGCTCGTGTTCACACCTGCATGGTGCTGTTTGTTGCAAACAAAACGAACAGCACTGTTGTGCAGCAGACTGGCACTATTGGCGGTGAGGATCTGTCCAGTGGCATGGAGTGTCTATTTAGCGGTGGGACAGATGTTGCGGTGCACACTCCGCTGTGAGTTTGTGGATGTGGTGGTGGAGCGGGGGAGTGGGGGGGGGGCGACGGGGGGGCGAGGCTGTGGTGCTTCTGTCATCTCGTTTTTATTTGGTAAGATCTTGTATTATTTGGATATCATAGATGCACGTGCTTCCATATAATATCAAATATACAAAGTGTAGATTGTGCAGAGTCGAGTCTCAGGTCTGATCTGATTCTGGTCTGGTTCCTGCTTTGTCCAGTTCATTAAGTTTAGTTCATTAAGTTCATTAAGAAGTTACACATTCCCAGACCAGACTGTGAAAAGTAAATATTTTTAACACTGATGGTGCACGGTTAGAAAAGTTAATAAAAAATAAATAATAATAAAGTTTTGGACATTTGATTTTTCACACTAAGTTCAGTCCAAATACTACACATTGAAATCAACACAATCTGATCCCCCCAAACATCCTGGATCTTATTCTTTGCTCTTACTTCCATAAAACATTATGAAATGAACTATTGGATCGGGACTTGGTATCGGCAGATGCTCAAAATCAAAGGACTCGGACTCGGACTCGGGGGCAAAAAAAGTGTGATCGGAACATCCCTATTTATAATGTCACTCACATGAGAGAGTGGTGGGTCATTCCTAATAGGCTCTATCCTCTCTGTAAATATAATTGACAGCTGAGGAGTGAGTGCAAGAAAGCTATATTGCCATGTTTTACCTTTATATCAACTAAAGATGTAAGATAAATTGCAAACAAAATCACTATTTGAACAGACACAACTGACAAATCTCAAAGATCGCAATGTTTAAGGACCATAATTTCCTCCACAAACAACAATATCTCCAGTTTTATTCTGCATAAAAGCTGCTAACCCTGCAGTGTAGTTGTGTACAAACAAGTTCTGAAATGTGATTCTTCTGTTAGATTATCAGTTGCCTTTTTGTCAATTTTCTGGAAAGGTATAACATTAAAATATAAATTTAAGAGTCCCGTATTACACAAAATGGATTCTTGTGAGTTTACATCATGTTAGAATGTTGTAACCACATCGAAAACAGACCTGGAGTTGTGTTTTGTTTCATTCACACATAAGAATAATCCAAGATTATTAGGCTGTCTGCATCCACAAACATCAAAAAGTTCTGTTCTGTTCCACCTTGTGATGTCATGAAGCAGCAGTTTTCAAGTTAACAGCTCCTTTTACCTTTGTTTAGTAGTCCAGAGCTGAAATCATCCAAATATTTCTAGTAAAGGTGGAGCACTTTCTATATGACATCACAAGGTTCAAGTGTTTTCCTGAGAGAAGAACTCAATACGCACTCAAAACTCAAAACTCCAAGTCTGTTTGTGACGAAGAAACAACATTATAACAAAAAAATAAAATAAATAAATGTTTTTAAAAAAAAAAGCATAATATAGGCCTTTTAATATTTAACTTAATAAAGTTTTCCAAATTAATTCAGTCCTATTATCTACACAACTTGGAAACTTTTAGAGAAAAAGACTTGATGGACACTCTGGATGGTGAAAAAAAGCATCACTAAAGATCTGCATTATTTTGTAAAGAGAATTTGTTTTTTGTAATAGGATAAATGCCCACTCTGTTTGTCTGACCTTCCTCTCCACGGCAAGACCAGGTCGGGGTTAATCTTCCTGAAGAAGTACTCTCCTCCGGGCGAGCGGCCATTATAACTCCTGATGGGCGTGTCCTCTCCAGACTCCTCCCCCCCTCTCCACTGACTCCTCCTGCTCGGGCCGCGCCATGCCGATGTACTTGGGCAAGAAGTCAATGAAGGCCTGGAACAAACCAAAAAAGTTTTACAAGGTGCTCTTCAGCAAGTTGACCTCACTATGCAGAAACAGACTTCAGTGCTCGCAGCTCTTGTTTTTAGCTTTAACAACAGCTGCACTGGGTTAGACTCACATAAGCAAAGACTGACAGTCTGTGCCATCTGCCCCACAACCACCAATCACTCACAACATTCATGCTAGGACAAAATGGTCAAAGTGTCTTGCTCATAAACACAAAGACGGAATGCCATGTAATCCATAAAGTGGCATTCATCTCTGAGCTCTTAAAATGCTGTGGTTGCATCACAGGTAAAAATACAGACTTGTCCTGCAATTTTTCAGTCTATAAACCAGCTCTGGATTCATTCTGTGGGGCTTCATTTGTTTATTTCTCATTGTTCATTCTCATTGCTGACAGCAGAGAGAGCTCCAACGTCTAAAGACCTCACTGGAAACTGAGGTGCAGACAGAAGCGACAAGACAGAAGTCATAGTGTTTTGCCCACAGAAGCAAAGAGACAGTGCCAGAAGTGGTGGTTGTCAAGGTGGTTTCTATGGTGGTTGCTATGGCAGTGGTTGTTATGATGGTTGCTATGCTGGTTGCTATGGTGGTAGGTACGGTTGTCATTTTGGTTGTTATGGTGGTTGCTATAGTGATTGCTATAGTTACTGTCATGGTGGTTTTTATGGTGGTTGCTATGGTGGTTGTCATGGTGATTGCCATGGTGGTTGCTATGGTGGTTGTTATGGTGGTTGTCATGGTGACTGTCGGTGGTTATGGTGGTTGTTATGGCGGTTATGGTGGTTGTTATGGTGGTTGCTATGGTGGTGGTTGTTATGGTGATTGCTATGATGGTTGCTATGGTGTTTTTTATGGTGATTGCTATGATGGTTGCTATGGTGGTTGTTATGGGGGTTGTCATGGTGGTTGCTATGGTGGTTTCTATGGTGGTTCCTATGGTGGTTGTTTTGGCGGTTATGGTGGTTGCCTTGGTGGTTGCTATGGTGGTGCTTGTTATGGTTATTGCTATGATGGTTGCTATGGTTGTTGTTAGGGTGGTTGTTATGGTAGTTGTTATGGTGGTTGTCATTGTGGTTGTACTGTCTAAATCAGACTTGTAGAGACTTATCCATGTGCTTGTCTCCATTAGGTTAGACTCCGGTTACAGTCTCTCACTTGTCTCTCCAAACGAGCTGTGAGACACTGTAGAATATCCAGAACACTGCAGCTCAGGTCCTGACTCGAACTAGGAAGTATGGGCACATGCGTCCTGTGCTCAGGTCTCTGCACTGCCCCCTGTGGCTCAGAGAATAAACTTTAAAGTGTCTCTCCATGACCTAGACCCAAAGTCCATCTGTGACATGTTAGTGCCATATGAACCATCGGCCTCATCGGACCGGCCTCCTGCTGGTGCCCAGAGTCAGAACTAAACACGGGGAGTCAGAGTTCAGTTTTATGAAGCTAAACCTGGAACAGTTTTTAGATGAACATGTGAGACAGACTCTAATGTGACTCTGTTTAAATCCAGGCTCCAAACAGTTTCTGTTTCAGCTGCATATGACTGAAAGGTTTTCATTTTTCTTTCTGCACTCTTCTCTCTCATTTAATGTCTCTCACTTTTTAATTTTATGATGATTATTTATGTGTTGATTTGTTTCTGTAAAGCACGTTGAATGACTTTATGTATGAATAAACTTGGCTTACGTTACCTTGCCTAGTTTATATTATTGAAAATCAGACACTAATCAATACTAAAACTAAAACTGAAAATAGATACACATTTGAGCAGGTATCATTACTAAAAAAGTCGCCCAGACAGGACAAATTAAGCTTTTCTGAATGTCTTTAGAATGAGCTTGAGCTGTATCAGAAGAGCACATAGACTAGTATACACACATGGACCACTATGGAACCTACCTGGACCACTGAGGGATGAAAAAGCGAAATTGTTGGTACATTAAATATAAAGTTAGTAGTATAAAGACTGAGAGAGTATTGTCCATAAGGAGTTTCAGTGTTTGAGTTTGTGTCACTTTTAATACGAACAAAATACTGCACAAAAAGACTGCACAAAAGGCCTGCACAGACCATAGTGAGCCAAATATGAGGACAAATGTGTCTGCTGTTATGAAACCTACAGGGGAAGACTGTGGAAGACTGTGGACTAAACCGGGACTAAACCAGGACCAAAGAAGGACTAAATCAAGATTAAACCAGGACTACAGACTAGAACTATATCAGGACAAAAGGAAGGATAAGATCAGGACTCAAGAAGGACTATATCAGGACTAAATGAGAACTACGTCAGGAGTCAGGACTAAACCAGGATTGCGTGGGTTACATAGGGACTAAACCAGAACTAAACCTAGTGTAAACCAGGACTACACCAGGACTATATCAGTACTAAACAAGGACTACATTAGGACTATCTAAAAAAGTATCTAATATCTAAAAAAAGTCCCATTCACAGGACAGAAATGAACTTTATTTTTTTACTATATTTATTGTATTTTAGAAAATGTGAAATACTAATCCCAAGATGACCAGAAACATTTAGAGGGAAAGACATAAAAATGCATTCAGCCCTTCATGTAACCAAGGCCAACCAGCAAAACCGACGTGAGCCTTACCAAGCGCACCCAGGTGGGCATGATGTGTGTGCTGGGCGTTCGGTGGTGCAGGTTGAGGACCACCACGCTGAGGATGACAGAGAAGGTGACCAGGATCATGGTGAACATCACGTAGTTGACGATGATGGGGATCCCCAGTGAGGTCTCCGGGACTCTGTCAGCCAGCAGCAGCATGAACACAGTGAGGGCGATCAGCACAGAGATGGACAGGGTCATCTTCTCTCCTGCGAAGAGACAATGAAGAGATGCACTTCAGAGTTTGCTGAGCAGAAGTTTGTTATCAAATTTCCCTCAAACCAGGACCAGGAAGTGTTGAAAATCAGATACTAATCGATACTAAAACTAGCATCAAAACCAGATACACATTTGAGCAGGTATCAGTACTAAAAAGTCCCATTGACAGGACTGAATGAAGCTTTCCGGAACGTCTTTAGAATGAACAAGTATGAGAGCACTAAGGCTACATTCAGACTGCAGGGCTTAAAGGTTGTATAGAGGATTTTTTTTTAAGGGAAAGGAAATACAGTGACAGTCCTTTTTCAAATGTTGTGCATGCGTGACACCACCTTCCTCCTCCACAGCTCCCTCAGTAGAAACATCTCCTCCCACCTCCTTACTCTAGAAATCACGCTTGTTTACGGCACGTTCAGAATTACCATTGAAGTGACCTGTCTTGAAATAATTTAGCGACCGACATGTCAGTTTTTAGACCCTTTGTCTGCTTCATTCCACCATCTCAACAAACTTTGTGCGAACTGCGAGGAAGCTACAGTTTAAAAAAGCCTCTAAGAACCGCTGCATAAACCACATAATCCCTGCGTGCCAGCGAGTCAGTTAGAAACAGGGAGTTTGTAGCAGTAGCCTTGTTTTCTATTGGCTGATGTTTATCTGGCCTCATTACATCCACAGTCGATAGATCATCCTTTTTTTTTTTTTTTTTTTTTTTGGTCATTATAATTACAAGGCTGCTGCATCTCTGTAATGGTATTTTAAACTTTCATTGACAATTTGAAACAAAAAATCCTCCATACAACCTTTAATGCTCATTTTGGATTTTTTGGGGGAAATCAGTGCAAGGTTGTTCACATTTCCAATTAAATGCGACTTGTATGTGATCTCCCGTGTGAACTTTAAACTCCCCAAAAGTGTCCTGCATGCGCACTGGAGGACATGACATCACCTCCTTGTATTTGGCGTGCAGGCTCTTTATTTTTCATTGGAGACCGCCTGTGGCCGTGCTCAGACATTTCTTTCAATCATTTCAAAACCTGCTTTGTTCCGAAAAGATCCCTCCAATTTGTCCTGAATACAGAGATCCCCCCAAATATTAATAAGCTCGTTAACCTCCCTTTCCCTCCATTGACGAGACTCCGAGCCTGACGTGTAGGTGGATGAACGCAACCTGGCCGTTCAGACTGAAATCGCATGTCAAAAGATCAGATATGTATCGGTTTTAGGAGCACATATCCAAGTGTCCTGGGTCACATTTGAAAAAATCGGATCTGTGTCGTTCAGACTGTCATGAAAAGATCAGATACAGGAACATAGGGGCCAAAAAATCAGATTTGGGTCACTTCAGGCTGCAGTCTGAACGCAGCCTTAGTAGTAATAGTATTTTAGGAAACCTCTTCTGGCGTGATTTGATGAGGGAACAATGTTATAACATGGTAGAAAGCTAAAACAAAGTCAATTTTGCATAATACCTCCTTTAATAGAGAATATTGTTAAAATAGTTGCAGTATTTTCAAGAGCACAAGTCACAAAAGATTACACTTACGCTTAATTACACACACGGTGGTGGCAAATTGTTACTTGCAGCTGCCAAAGGACACAATGACAGGATACACTAGTTAAACCTGAGATCAGACCTCCAATGTTCTAGTTAGAAGATAACTAAGATAAGCCGACAGAGGAAATGTCACCCTGATTCTGTCCAGTCTGGTCTGTTCGTACCTGCTCCTGGAGGCAGGTAGAAGACAAAGATGGCCAGGACGCTGGTGAGGATACAGGGCACGATGATGTTGATGATGTAGAAGAGCGGCTTCCTCTCGATGATCAGGTAGAAGGTGATGTCCTCGTACAGGTTCTCCTTCACGTTCTTACGAGACGGTTTGTGACAGATGGCCCACTCGCCGTTTTCTGTAAATACAGGTACATACTGTCCAACACATGCATTTCAGTGCGGATGAAACGAGTTAAATCATAAGTTTGGATATTCCTTTAAAAAAAACAAAAAACTACCATACACCCTTGCCCACCATCTGAAATAACGATAACGTCAAATGACTGAACGTGAATGCAACTTATTGAATCTTTTACATACCGCTCGAATCAAAGGAGAGAAAGAAAGAAAGAAACTGTACTTTTTGGAATACTTGTGAAGTAAGTAAGTGAGTAAGATTTGTGTTTAGTTTGTCTAATTTTTGTGTCGATAATAACGAAAATAGCAGATAGTTTCTTTTTACTCTTACTTGAGCAATATCTTGGACCACTACTTTTTACTTCTACTTCATTCATATTTTCAAACAATTTTAAGTACAATTTCTGGCTACTTCAACCTCAACATCTACCTAGAAATTTAATTGGTCAAAGATTGACAGACAGAGTAACCAATCAGAAGAAGGCGTCTGTACGTACCTGTGAAGGCGTTCTCATCTATGACTATCTCCTTGATCTCATTTCCCTCATCATCCAGGTAGTACTGCAGGTCCACCTCTGAAGCATCATACGTGTACGAGCGGAAGACCATGCTACAGTTCTGCCAGTCGAACGGGAAGTACGCCACCTGCAGGACAAAATATCAAGATCAAGTTTATGTCGAAGCATTTTTTTACTTTTTACAGGGCAGCCGCGGGGTTTTAAAAAAGATCTTAAATGTCATGTTCCTAAATTAAGGCCTTATAAAGTCTTAAATTATGTTGTCGAAGTCTTATTTTTTTCACAAAGGTCTTAAATTTCATTAGCCTATTCAAATATTTACATTTCTTTTTTTTCTTTTTTTTCTCTGTTGCTGAAAATGTTAAATGGTTAAAGCACTTTGAAAGACATTATGCAACAAGACAGTGTGAAAGGTTAGTTTGTCTTGTCAGAATGTTATAAGTGATTTTTGGGCAATTTTACAAGCAATACATACATGAGTTCTAAAAGTAAATAAAAGTATACATAATAATGCATAATAATACGTAATAAAAGTACTTTTTGTTATTTAAAGCAACGAGTAATGGTCATTATTAGAATTGGATCAGGTGTTTTTCTCCCGCATAATGGGTGGTCTTAATTTTCATGCAAGTGGTCTTAAGAAGGTCTTTAAAAAGTCTTAAATTTGGGGTAGTCAAACCTGGGGATACTCTGTTTATATTTCCATAAGTGTTTGCATGTACCTCTATAGAACAGGAGCTGCGGTAGATGGCAGGAGGAAGCCAGTTCACTGTTCCATCGCTGTAGACCAGGACGTTGACGTAAAGAGCCACATCGAACTGACCGTCGTTACTGCACAAGTTAAAGGAGACAAATTATGTCAAATTCCATTTTAAACATATTATAATGGTGTTCTCTCTTCATGAAGTTGTCCTGCATTCACTTGCTTGAGTGCTCAAAGAATTTCTGTTCTCACTTTCCTCCTATCCTCACCCACTGCCCCTGCACTTCACAGTTTACTCAGGAAATTCAGTCTCCAGCTCATCCATGTAAGGTTCTAAAAATACCTTTTTCAACAATAAAAGCATTGCTACAGTAAAAGGCCATTATGAACAGACGGGGCTTGTCAGTTTTGAACTCAGTGGGGCTGCTCTAAAGGTTGTATAGAGGATTTTTTTAAGGGAAGTGAAATACAGCGACAGTCCTTTTTCAAATGTTGTGCATGCGTGACACGACCTTCCTCCTCCACAGCTCCCTCAGTAGAAACATCTCCTCCCGCCTCTTTACTCTAGAAATCACGCTTGTTTACAGCCTCATTCAGAAATACTGTTGAAGTGACCAGTCTAGAAATATTTTTGCGACCGACGCGTCCATCGCTGGAAGAAATCTCCAAGAATCACCTCAGTTTGTCTTCGCTCCTTTTCTCCTTCTCTTCTTCTTTCAGTGACCTCAAAAACTGACTTTCTTTTGCAGCGAATTGGTCGTGGATTCTCGTCCGCCGTCGCAACAAACTTTGTGCGAACTGCGAGGAAGCGACAGTTTGAAAAAGCCTCTAAGAACCGCTGCATAAACCACGAAATCCCTGAGCGCCGGCGAGTCAGTTAGACTAGAAACGTAGGGAGTTTAATTGACAACCTAACAGCCAATAGATAAAGAGGGAGCCTTGTTTTCTATTGGCTGATGTTTATCTGGCCTCAACACGTCCACAGTTGATAGATTTTCATTCTATTTTTTTGGTCATCATAATTACAAGGCTGCTGCATCTCTGCAAAAAAAAAACAAAAAAACAAAAAAAAATCCTCCATACTACCTTTAATGTAATTTTATTTAAAACAATAAAAGGTAACATGGTGATCTAAATATGTTCTGTTTTCGCAATTATAAGCCCGTAGAAATGTAATGCCTCCTCTAAATAAATACATTTGAATTATAAAGCTCTTTTAAAAGCAAGTTGCCTAAAAATGTAAAAATAATCATTCAATACTAAAAGACAGACATTTAGGGAAAACAATGGTCCCATATGTGTTCCACTAGATTTACTTGTTTATGAGGTAGATATCTGGACGCCACACTTTATTTGGAGGAATTCGCAAAACGTCAATGTTGTCGTAGTCTTCTGGTTTCCACGACAACCTGTAATCTGTCCATGCCTGGAAACAAATATGAAGAAATATGGTGGAAATAGGATTTAGAAGTGTTCCAGCATCATTTCCTTGTGAAGTAATAAACTCCTGCGATACCATATTCATGAAAACGTTGGTCGTCATCTCGCCATTTTTTTCGTTCTGCAGTGAGACACAAACGAAACAGAGAGGAAAGATGTTAGTGAACATGTTTTATCAACTGGCTGTGTCCTTGAGTGAGATATTTCAGGCACATTGCACTCTCCAGTTACAGATACTGTTGAATATGCAACAGTATTTATCCTTCAAATGAACAGACAATCTCTGTACGCAGTATCATATTCCATAACAGAGGTGGGACCAAGTCATTGTTTTGCGAGTCTCAAGTCTTTGACCTCAAGTCCCAACCCTAACCCAAGTCAAATACAGGCAAGTCCAAGTCGAGTCTCAAGTCACTGGCCCATAAGTCCAAGTCAAGTCCAAGTCGTCTGCTTTGAGCTTCAAGTCATTTCAGTCTTTAAACCAAAGTACCAAATACAGCTTAGATTTTTACAGTTTATATGATTTTTAAGATAAATTGCTCTTAAAACGTCATGGAGTATTTATATTAGGACTGGGCATGTTAACGCATTAATTTTGCATTAACTAATTAATTCATTATCACCGACAATAATTTTAACGCCATTAATGCAGTTTTTATATATATATATATATATATATATATATATATATATATATACGTATGTATGCTAAAAATTGGCTTTTATTTTGAGAAAAAGACCACCGCGTGTTTCTTTAAGTTTGACGTTTTTTTTTTTTTTTACACTTTTTTCACTTTTTTTCTGACCATGTGAGATGCAACGTGTCCAAGCTCGGCCCAGCTGCTTTTTATTTTTGCCCAGCCCTAATTTATATACAGGGTATCCCCAGGTTTGACTATCCCAAATTTAAGACGTTTTAAGACCGTTTTAAGACCACTTGAATTAAAATTAAGACCAACATCACGCCCATTACACAGGCGACAAACACCAGATCCAATTCTAATAATGACCAACCAACTACTGTTTCTAGAATCCAAGAGCCACCCATGATCCATCCAATGTCTTCCTCCACTCTACTGACTGTTTACTCATTGCCACTGGCGCCAGAAACCAAAGTTTTGTTTGAGCATACTCCAAATTAGACGTTCATTCGTGTTACGTGCTTTTAATTTGTTGTTTTTTAACTCCCTCCATCGCACTGCAGCCCGGTTGAGTATACAGAAAAACAGGCTAATAAAATTTAAGACCTTTTATTTTAAAAAATAAGACTTGGACAACATAATTTTAGACTTTTTAAGGCCTTAATTTAGAAACTTGAAATTTAAGACCTTTCTTTTTAAGACTTTATGACCTCGTGGCTTCCCTGATATAAGAGTTGTAGAAATGCCAATTTTTCCTTGAATCATTACGGTCAGAAAAAGAATTCAGATTTAAAAGTGCTTAACATCAGTTATTTTGTCATGTAGTCTGAAATGGAAGGATCATGTTCTGTGTAGTTCCCTCTGTTTTACTGTATTGTACTGTGTATTACTGTAGTACATTTGTTGATACCAGACCACAGTACTTCAGTTACATCCAAAATAACAAATGGAGAAGTGGGAGGGATATGTTCCACTTTATTCTTCTAAAAATTAATCACCACGAATGTAACCGGGTGTTTAGACTATATTTTCCGACCGTAGTGCGTCCGTGAATGCGCCCGCCTGCAGGTCGCTGTGCGTGGCTCCCGGCGTCACTGATCAGCGATTAGAAAAGGCTGCGCACGCTGTAGTGTGGCAGTCGGGGCTTTCGGTGTCTTGTGAGCGCAGCGTGTAAGTACTGAAGTTGTTCCTTCAACATTTCAATGTTTCTCTTAGAACTTCTTTTAATGAGTTGTTTCTGGTGATTACATTTAAAGGTGTTGTCTGGAGCAGGCAGTGACGGTGGTCGCTCCTAATGTGCTCCTGGTCCCATGTAGAGAGTGCCCATTTTGGAATCCAGGTAGAGGCTCTGGGTGGTGTATATTTGGGGGTGGTGGCATTTGATGGCGTGTGTGGTAATCGGTGTATTTCTATGTGGCAGATTACGCTGCTGCTGTTCGCTCTCAAATTCTCTCAAATTCTCTTAAATTCTCTTAAATTCTCTCAAGTCTTAGCAAATTCTCTCGTAAAGTCTGATTCCGTAGTTCCTTTTGTAGTTAGTGTAGTTGCTATAGTGTGTGTATTTATCGGATATTCAGAGTGTAAAATTTGCAGTGAAAATTTTCAAAGAGAGGAGGTTTGGATGAGGTGAATTCTGACCAGTCAGACTGGTTCACTACACCATTTCCTGTTTGTTACTAACTCTGCCTTCAAATATCCTTCTGAATTGGTTTTCCAAGGAAGTTGTCTGACACACGCCCTTTTCCTGAGACGGTGACTCTGAACTCTGTGGCGGAAAAAGTCGACCGAGCAAGGATTCCAAATCACAATCCAAGAAGGCTCCGCCCACTAAGACATGTAAATATGAAGTGTTTTCATTGTGTTTGGACATTTTGGTGTTTAAATGACAGTTTCAGTCACTTGTATCACAGTACTTTACCGTGTCCGTATCACTGTCTGTGAGTTTGGTAGTCGGTGTTGTGTTGAGGCCAATTTTGAACAAATACTTGATTTAATGGGCGCTAACGTCATTAAGGTTGTAAAATAAAAGAAATCATAACATAAAATGAAGTGCAATTTTTTAAAAAAAATTAAATGAATTTAAGTGGCAGCGTTTTTATAAGATGAGGGAATAATTATAACCATAATCCACATTGTCTGACACGGCAAACATAATAATACACTTCAAGCTCGGATGTGACGTCAAATCCAAGGTCCAAATGGGAGTCGGAAGATAATCGAACGAAGGATAAGTTAGATCGGATCAGTTTGGTTCGATTGCTTCTGCCTCAGCATCTTGGATCTTTCCTGCAAAGTTTTTTCACTGCAATTTTTACACACTAAAATTCTAAATTAAAAAACAAACAAACAAACTAAATCTTTTAAATATTCAGCACAAATATATTCAAGCTCTCAAATTCAACAGTCAAAATTCAAACACTTGAAAATGTATACGGAAAATGTCAGGAACTAAAATTCAAAATAAAAAATAATTCAAACTTTTTTTTCAGAGTTAAAAAAAAATTCAACGACATTTAAAATTAAAAATGATGAAACAAATGATCTTCCATAGACTCTACTGACTAAAAGACTAAAGGACTAAAGGATTACTGTATAAGTATATAATGCCAGGATGGGAAAAGGAGAAATTCAGTTCTGTCAACTGGATAAAACTTTTTTGATCTTGATGGAAAAAAAACAAAAAAACAAAACAATCTTTTGTCCAGTTGTTGATCTGAATTCCTCCTTTGCAATGGATCTACCTGGATCACTGAGGGAACATGAACAATGTCAGACTGTGATAGCTTGATTCATCAACTAGTTTCTGACCTCGCAGTATTAGGATTCGTTCACCCGACAGTAGGCGGGTACTTTGGTACTTTGGTATATTAAGCTTTTCCCAAATCCCGTAGGAAGGAAAATAACGTCTTTCCCCTTGATAAAATTCACCAAACATTCTCTTTGTTCCGGCTTTAAATCCTCGATTTTAGGAATCGTTGACAACACAGAATGTCTGGCTCTTTGCTGATTGGCTGGTGCCCGGACTCGCATTTCCGGGGTTTCAGCAAACCGTCCAGTGTATTCTGATTCCTGAACTAGTCACTGGAAAGAAATGAAATTGAGCAGAGGCACTAGGTGGCACCAGTTTGGCTAGGACTGTGGCACATTCCATGCAAAGCAACATTACCATGGAGACAGGTGTTATGTGTTATTGGCCTGTAAACCTGCTCATATAAGCACACAGTTGTAAAATGCATAATGTGGCAGCAGCAATAGGACATAAAAACTGTGCAGGAGACTACTGGATTCTGTTACACAAATATCTGGACAAAATGGAAACATATAATACACATTTAGAATGATAAGTGTCATTTAAGTGTGTCCTTGAAGTGAAGCAGTAGTGTTGTAACACCAGCATTACAGTCCCCACTAAAAGGGAAAGTTGCAGAAGGTCACTGTTGTGAGTTCTTACCAGGCTGACGAGCTGGGACAGGGTCATCCCCACCCTCACCATGACCTTCTCGTGCCAGAGCCGCGCCGGACGCACTTTCATGTTGTAGTCCTCAAACAGCTTCTTGTGCAGTTTGCGCTCTGTCTCCGAAGCTCCTAACACACAAGACAAGGAGCAGGGAACACAATATTACACAACAGCCTTGTCATTTTTAGTCGTTTGTGAAACTTCTTTTATACAACATGGATTTGAATCATTGATCATAGAATATTATAAGACATAGAATATATAAGTGCATATGACAAGTTTTCATGTTTTTCTAATTCTGGCTTGATTTGGTGAATAGTATCTGTCTTCAATATTTATCATAGTTTTACATGAGTTAAGTGGGAGTTTGTGGAAAAAAAGCTGAGAAAAAAAAGACAATTTTAGGCACAAGCAAGGTCATTTTCTGACAGTTTAAACAGTTGTTTAAATGACTTGTGCATGTATTACACTATTGTGTAATTTAGACAAGTGTTGGTCTTTGAATTTCTCCTTTTGCCTTTGTTGTAAACAATTAGTCAACTGGACAATAAACTTTTGTCCAATTGACTAATTGAATTTCTCCTTTTACCTTAGATTGTACTTGGACGAGTGAGGGTTTTACACACAGCATGGTTGTAAGGTAACAGATATGTATGTCAAATCTACAGTGAATTTCTCAATGTTTACAATTTTCCAGTAATGCCAAGAGAATATGCAATTGTTTTTGATGCCATTCCTTCTGGAGTGAAAATGCTGATGTCCACTTATGTACATATTTCTAATGATGACTCAACTAAAACAGTTGTTTATTGGTAACTCTGTCCTGTTTTAAAGCTTTAAAACAAATAACAAATGTATAAGAGAACTTATCACAAGAGAATCTATCAGTAAACCAGCTTCTGTTTTTGTCTGGAATAATACATTTACCAACATTAACTGGAATGATGTTTGGCTTTTGCCTAGAAAATATTGTGTAACTAATAAGACTCGTGAAGTCTGCCTGAAAATCCTGCAGAGATGTTCCCCTGTTTACACTGTTATTTCAAAGTTTTGCTTAAACATAGATCATCTTGCCTCATTCTGTCACAGCGTTGAAGAAACGGTCACCCGTATGTTTTGGGAATGCTCATACACTCAAATCTTTTGGAATGACATATTTTTGTTAGTGAATAGAAAGCTTGATACAAATCTACAATTTAATATAAAACATGTTCTCTTTGGTCTCTCTGAGAAAGATATTCCTGCCAAAAATATATATATTTGTTGAATTTAATTCTAATCCTATCAAAGTTTCATATCCATTGCTGTAAATTTTCTAGTCAGAAACCCAAATTTGTTGTGTTTCAGTCCTTCTTGTCTTCTTGTATAAATTCTCAAAATTATTGCACAAATCCCAAAGCCTTGAAGACAAAAACACTTTGTACGGAATTTGAAATATGAAATATGAATGTATTTATTTACTTTCCTACATTTGTACATGTATAGCAATATATTTACACTGTGATGTATATATGTGTTATTAATGAAGATCTTGCGCATATTGAGCCCTGTGAGCAAATTAACTCTTAAGCCTCCAGCAAGGTTTTTGTTTATACCATTGTATATTACATTGTATGTTTGAAAAAAAAAAAAAAAAATATATATATATATATATATAATATATATATATATATATATATATATATATATATATGTATATATATATATATATATATATATATATAATATATATATATATATATATATATTATATATATTATATTATATTTATATATATATTTTAATGTATGTCATATCTGCTGCCTGTATCTAACCAACGAGTAAAATTAAAAACTTAACCAATCTTATCTTTTGGCCTCCCCGAGCAAGGAACGGGTCAACCAAGGCTGGTCAGAGTCAAATCACACTACAGCAGGAGAGCCTGGCCCCTCCCGAACTCTATATATTTAACTATGTTATGGTAAAATGTGTAATCCAACCTGTCATTTGCACTTCAAAACCAACTGGAGAGGTGAAGGTACATTTTATTGTCCCCGTAGTGAAATGTGTGCATTTGACCCATCCTCCAGTGGGGCAGGGGCCTGTGATCTTGGGTTTAATCTTGGTCAGGACTATTGTAGGAAATCCAGACACAGGGAGAACATGCAAACTCCACAAAGAAAGGCCCGGCTGATCTGGGGAACCTTCTTCCTGTGCAGCGTGATGTGACCGCAAACCGCTGTGCTGCTTATTAATGTGTTTAATTTTTAGCATCAAGCTCTCTCAGGGATGAACCTACTGAATTAATGAAGTATTTTATAAAGTGAATCAGAAATGCACAGTTAGCATGCTAGTTAGAAGTAGCTTTACCGTGACGGGAAAACTCTACTCTGGCATCTGAAAGTTGTGAAAAGCTCTGAAAAACTCATCGTGGTGAATACTTAACTGCTCTGAGTGCTTAAGGGAAGTGAGGAAGAACTTTGGACCACTGCAAACTGTTTCAAATGAACTAGTTCGGTTTTCCAAGTTTTTAAGACAGTAAAAAAATCAAGTACAGGTCCACGTGAAGTACAAAGTGAGTTGGCTAACAGAAATGATGACATCTTTCGTCCCCACACTTCGTGAATGACACATCGTTTGCAGCTGCCTCACGCCCTTGACACAGATCCTACTGCGTGTTTTGCTTTGGATCAGAGGATGGGGGTTCAACTCCCACAGGGCCCTCACGGATGCTCATGGATATGCTAAAAATATACCTCATGACCACGCTGAGGCTATGAATGAACTAACCTGGCTTGACTTCGTGACACCATACACTTATTGAACCCACATTTTTGTGGAGTGCCACCTGCCGGTCTCTGTAAAGATGCCTGGAATGTTCCTCAGCATGGCATTCAACTTCAGAGTTACAGGTCAGATTTGTGGAGAGGCGAGCCCACAAGAACTCATGGTTTCTATGTGTAATGTATATATTTGTAATAATAAAGTATATGATTGATTAAACACAAAATAGATTAGTTTGATGCCATGGGGCGCTACGGAGAGCAACAGAAGTTAGAGACAAGTTCAGGGTTCCCACTCTTTTTCAGTGACAAAATGTCAAAACTCTTCCATGAATTTTTCATGACCTAAAGTGAATTTTCCATGACTTTACACCACCTACATGTGTAGAGTTGATCAGACTTTTAGGGCTAAATATGAAATGTGAACTCTTTCCACTCACCTTATGGTTTGGGATTATAGATTTGGAACATTCAAAATCCTGTCAGTGCATTTATTGTCGTCTCTTTTAAACAAAAGGTGCAGACGTTCAGAAATAATCAGAACTTCACAGAACACTGGAGTTGCATGAAAGAGATACTACAGTTCCATGACTTTTCCCAAACTTTCATTGAATTTACAAAGTTTTATGACGTTTCCAGGCCTGGAAAATGACATTTTCAGTTTCCATGACTTTTCCATGACTGTGAGAACAGTGCAAGTTACACAGTGCTCCTTTAAAGTATGTATGATTTAATTTAACATTTAACATTCTCTAATTTTGACTTAGTGGGATCACACCTGCTGTAAGCACCTGCTCAAGAAGAAATTTGCCAAGAAAAGTTGAAAAACATGTTGGAAACATTGATGACATCACAACAGGGACACTTTTCTATTCAAGTTAAGCAGTTTACACATAAGAAACACGGTTTTATCTGATACTTTAAACATGAATCCAACTGAATAAAAATGTTAGATTTGTATATGTCAAATAATAATTTGTTTACAGTGAGTGTTTTTACATACACATCAGCCTTATCCCGGTTATGAGCCTTATCCTCGTTAGCCCAGTATTCTGGATATGGTGTTTACACGGACCCACAGAAATCAGAATACTTGTATTCATGTATATATGTACCATTAGAGCAGGGCTCTCCAAACATATTCCTCCAGTGAACTACTTTTACAAAACGAAAATGCCAGAGAGCTACTAGTTTTAAGTATAAATATATATGCCACAATCACCGAGTGGATTGCAAGGACTACACCAGGACCGGACCAGGACTAAACCAGGACATATATATACATATATACACCACAGTCTTTGACCCAGTTGCCTCCACTGATGGTTTTATGTAATTAAAACACTGAAGTCTCTCTCAGCTTGGTCTGACATCGTTTTGGGAAAAGACCGGGACTGGGCACGTGTTTCCAGGGCAACGGACGCGTGTCAAGTATTTTTCTCCCATTTGTTCACAGCGTCCAAGACGAGTGTCGGGGTGTCTAACCTCAGATACGAATGTGTCCAAATACAGGTGTCTAGGGTGTTTTTTGATGCTCTGGTCTGAACAGACCTTTAGATGAGGTACAGTTAGATGTCTATAAAACATAAACCATTATCCATTTATTAGTGAACAAAGTTCAGTATCAAAAGTATATGTTTACAATGGTAAAAGGCATTTAATCAATAAAATTTGACAAATTCAGCACAATGCGTATAATACAGAAATCCTTTGACAAGCTTCTTGGAAAGGGGTGTAGAGCTAATTGTTGCTCTGAGCTACAGGTTGGAGACCCCTGCATTTGATTATCCTGGATATTTAGATGGCACAGACAGACAAGAGCTAAGCTGTTTCTAACAACAAAAAAGAAGACAGACATTCGAGTAAGAACATGAGACTGTGGAGCTCTGTCACAGCTTCAGTAAAAGTCATTTTTAACCATTGAAAACTACAACACAGTGTCACAGAGTCAGTTTCAAGAGCAGCACAAACTACCACAGAGGTGAGGCTGGTGTTAGACAGTGGACGGCTTTATTTTGTTTATAAGTATAAAATATTATTACTTAAAAAGTCCTGGTAGAAGTTTGAGTCATTTTGGGAAAGTAAACTCCTACTGTTTTCCTGATTTGAGTTTGCACATGCTCAGTACAGCTCCAGTTTTGAGAAATCAGGATACAGCGTCTACAGGCCACAGTATCTTGGATACTACCAGAAAAACCCAGTGAGAGTCTCCTGATTTCTCATCACCGGGATACTGGCTTATCCAGGATTCTGAAATCAGGATACTGCATCTACCTGGACACTCACAGAACCAGGAGACTCCAAAAACCTGATCATCACAGGGACACTCAACACACTCACTGGAGGAGTTTTAACCCACTGGATGACATGGTGGTAGGAACGTTATGGAATTCCTTACCGTGATCACAGCCATAATTTCCATTTTAAATCTTATATCTTTATATCTTCTTTTAGTAAAATTGGTTTAGTTTAACTTTTAGTCCATTTAAAAAGGATTAATTATGCAAAATCAATTTTCATGAGCTTTTATCAGTTATAACAGTCACCCCCCTCATCACTGCCATATTCAACTGACTCGTGCATGATTGAGTAATCCTAAATTGTCCTGTCCTCAGAAAAAAAAAAAAAAAATCCTCATTTCATGTCCCAAATCCCTCTGTGCAGATCTAATTATTTAAAAAATGAAGACTTAAAAAAAACAGATTCATGAAAGTCTGCTCTATGCTGTGGTGAAAAGCACCTTTAAAAATTGTGGTTTACAATGAATAAACAGTAAAATGATGATCTACTCCGACAAGAAACCTATTTATAAAATTTTGTTTCAATATGTTACAATATTATGGTATGATGGAGCCTAAACCCAGTTTTGTAATTTTTGTATTATTTTCATTACTGAGATAGTTGTTCCTATTTTATTTGGTTTACTTGCATGATTTTTGATCATTTTGGTAATTCTTTATGTTTAACATGATTATGTGTTGATTATTATTTGTTTGCTTAAAATTATGTGATTTATTTACATTTTTCTTTCAACTAATTATTGTTAATGTTAATCATTAGTTTACCTAAGTAATGTTTATTTTTTGTATGATTTTGTTTTCAATGTTTCATTATTTATGACAAGTGCAGGTGCATCATGGAAGTGTAGAGTGGAGCTACACAGTTTTTTGACACTTTTGTCACACTTTACCTGTTAAAGTTCCCCTTTTGTACATTTTGTAAGTCCTCAATACCTGCATCCTGAATTTCGGGCTTCTGGTCATTGCACAATCCATACTGGGAAGGGTCCTCCGAAAAAGTGAGCAACAAACTGCCATGTTTGATTTCCCAGTGGGATAAGTCTATTGTCAAAGCCGATCTTTGCAAGTCATTTGAATGTCGCTTTTGTTTCTGGTTGTGATATTGTCATATTTTAGTTATGGGATTCAGACATCATAATTGTGTGGTTGTTGGATCCTAACAGAGGAAAACGGCTCGAGAAATGAGCTTCAGAAGTTTGTGAACTCCATAAATGCAAAAGGGAATCAGTTCTGTGTGACTGTAAACCTCCATTCAAATTGTTTCCCTTCCCAACAGAACTGAAAAATAGTGAAAGACAGGAGGGACATCAGGGAGACAGACGTGCACCCTGATAGTGGTAGAATAAACTTTTATTCATCATGGAGATACAGCGCGTTCAGCCGCATGTGTTGGACCCGGATTCGGACGAGGACTTTGAGGTGCACGAAGCTCAAGCACCACGTCCACATCAACTGAACATTACTGATTGGTAAAGTTTTAATAAACACTAGTAGATCAACTTATTATATCATGTACACTGCAGTGGAGAACAATGAGCTTATGCTGTCGCTTTTGTTTAGGTGTTCATGTGGGAATTGTCAGATGATGCGGGGTGGAGGTGGTGGAGCAGGGGAGGGAGGTAGGTGTGAAGTCCCTTCTGCTACAACAAATGCGTCATAGGTGTATCTGCCGCGTCATCATTGTAGCAGCTTTAGTTCGTTGTCACGTGGGAGGTTGGCAGAAATACGCTGCAATTTGTTAAAAAAACGCTGAATCAATCTAAAAACCACTTCGGTGACAAATACAAGGCCCACACATCACTCTTAGAAGGTAGAAAGCTCTGAAAAGTCGATTTTGCATGAGATGGGCCTTTTGAAGAGCCTAAATTATGCTATTTTCTGATCCGTGTTCTAATATAGTTTCCTTATCGCAAACAAACCGAGACTTGTGTTTTGTTTCATTCATACATTTTTTCCACACAAACACTGTATATTTAGACTGAGTTCATCTCTCAAACAGAAAACACTGGGCCACCTCGTGATGTCATGTGGTAATACAGGAAGTGCTCCATCTTCACTAGGTCTGCACTGAACAAACAACAGTTCTGTTTTTGAGGAGGTAACATTATAACATGGCTTACATCTCACAAGAGTCATTTTCACGTAACACGGGACCTTTAACGTCCACAGTCCTTCCGTGGGTTCATTCTGATCACTGTCTTCACTTCACAATAAGGCTGCCAAATACTGTCCCTTAATGACACGTCGTTTGCAGCTGCCTCACGTCCTTGACACAGATCCTGCAGCATGTTTGGTTTGGATCAGAGGATGAAGGTTCAACTCCCACAGGGACGGTAGGCCAAAAATACACCCCAAATTGATCTACGGTAGGGTTGTCGAAAAGATACCGGGACACCATTCGAAAAGACATTTTGTATAGAAACTATATCACTGATGACAAAAATAAAATGACAGCACATGTACATCGCAAACTATGAAAAGCACATCCTTGGAGAGTAACCTTACTTCAACATAAAATTACTCAAGTATTATTATTTTAAATTATTTATGCATTTATTTTGGGCAGATAAAGATTTACATTCATATACAATGGAACATTTAACATGAAATCATAATAGAAATGAAAATAACAACAAAAAATTACTATTATTAGTATTACTTTGCCCAAAAAGGAGTGGGAAGAAGAAAACTTATGTAATCCCACCCCTACTCTTCATAATGTAACACAATGAGCTTCTTTTACGTTTTTCAGACATTTTGAATTAAACTATATGAACTATTTACAAGTGCAGACAAAGAGTCAATGTTATAGTTTGGTAGTATAACATAAGCAGACCAACAGTGGTAAAGTTAAGGACACAGGCAATGGTAAGAAACAACAAATACAAGTAATGTAACGGACAGCACAAACCAGCAATGGTAAGAAAACAACAAACATAAACCAGCACTACAGAGGCAGGATTGTTCTAATATTATGACCCACTCTCCATATACTGTGACCAGACCATAAGTTAATATAACAACTTGAATTTATGGATATTTTGGCATTGCTTGAGACGTGTATCCAGACTGTTCCAGAGTTTTACACCACATTCAGACACACAGAAACTTTAACGGGTAGTTCGTATATAGGCAAGTTTCATTGTTGAAAAAAGCTGGGAATTATTTTGGTCGGCGGCAAGAAACACTAATTCAATATGACGGAAGGAGCGAGAAAGCACGTAAAGGGTATTGATCCCGGTTATTTATCCACTCTAGCACATCAGCACAGAAGCAGTTTATGAGGAGTCCAGTCCATATCACATGATCGTTATATCCACAATACAATGTGTGTATGTGTACAGGCCCATGGACATTTGTGTGATATTGGTCACACATGAGAATGTCTGTGTTTACTAGTGTGGAACCAAAATGTCATTTTTCATGCGTTGTGTGTATGTTAGTTGTGTGACTGTAGATCAGTGTGTTGTGTATCACCAGAAAAACAAAACATTTAAATTATTTCCATTCCAATTAGAATTTTAACGGCATAAACTGAAAGAGAAAGGAACTGTTAGAATTAGTGATTATCTCGTAAACTATTAATATTTTACTCTACAAATGCATAGAATTATAAATAGATAATATTTCTGAGATTTTGAGACACTCCTGTTGCTCGAGCTCCATCCTTCGTGGAGTCATGACCAAAAACGCATATTTGACCTTGGTTACCTTGACCTTCAAGTGACCTTGACCAGTTTCAACCTGTAACATCCAGTTTACCCTGGTTATGTGTGTGCCAACTTGTGTGATGATTGGGTGAATATTTTAGATTTAGATTGTAGATGGTTCAGAAATTGCTGAAATTGCCCTTATCCTTTATAATGGTGTGACCTCAAATGACCTCAGATCATCACCAAACTTTTTTTAGGGCATCGAGCATGGACGCTTGACCCATGCACCAAATTTGGTGATAATCGTTCCTATAAATGGCGGAATTATCGTGGGTGGACAGACACACAGACACACACACAGACACACAGGGCGAATACAAAACCTGGTCAAAACCTGGAAAAACAAAATCATATGTGAAGGAACTGCAAGAAACACAAATGTTATATAAAGCTTTTGTCACTTTAGACTTGCTCACAGTGGGAAGAGTAAGCACAACTTTTACTCAAGTAAGAGTACTGTTACTTCAATAACAAAATGGCTCAAGTAGGAGTTAAAGTATGATGCTAGAAAAGTACAATTTCTTCAAAAAGTAAATGTAACTGAATACTGCCCTCCTCTGCCTCATTGGTACATCTGTTCTATGGTCAGTCTTGAAAGGCTCTATTGAACCATATGATAAAATAAGGAATGAATGACTTTTATTTGGTATTAAATTTGTTTCATTTGCATAAAAAGGATAAATGTGTGTTTCAAAGAGCCTGTACCTATTTTTTCTCATGTACGTCAGCAAAAATAATCTTGTGCCAGTACAGATATATTGTATACGTCAAAGTCACTCAACTCGATAAGTCTGCTTCCCTCAGTCTGTAAACTCTATTTTACTGTCTTATAATCATGTACTCAGTGCGCTGTTAGCATGCTAGTTGTTGTTAGCTTTAATAATAAGGATGCCCAGAATGCAGGAGGTAAGTGAGGACTTTAGACTGCTGCAAGCCATTTAAAATTAAAATATCCAATTATTAAATAAAAATCTGCGTATTCTAAATTTAAAAGATTTGAACTAATTTAAAAGGAAACTCAAATAATACATTAAAAGTCTATAATTTTTAACTGTTCAACCAAATATGCCTACAAGAGTCCGCTGCATGTTAAAAAAAGAGTTATTATTTAACTTTCTACCGTGTTATAACGTCGTTCCCTAATCAAAAATACGCCTGAAGAGGTTTTAAATGTTATCCATGTGTGTTTGAGTAATCTAGCGATCTCTCCTAGGTCCTATTCAAACCTCCTAGCTGTAAGGTTCTGTGCAAATCTCCGCCCACGTCACCCACGCTCCCGCACGACAATTCTCTATAAACTTACAAAATCTGATGCGGTGTGCAGTAGTGTCATTAGCGGGATCCACGCTGATTGTGTTGTGATAGCGCTCTGAAGGGGGAGTGACTTAATCGGGGGAGCAAAAGGAGGGGAGAGTCAGAGGGGCAAAAGCTAAAGAAACTTATAAAACATGCTAATATGTTCGTTTCTGTGAATATAGCATTTTCAAAACAATAAAAGGTAACATGGTGATATAAATATGTTCAGGGTTCCCACGGTCATGGAAATCCCGGAAAAGTCATGGAAACTGAAAATGTGACTTTACAGGCCTGGAAAAGTCATGGAAATTTGTAAATTCAATGCAAGTTTTAGAAAAGTTATTGAATTTTAGTATTTCTTTCATGCAACTATAGCGGTCTGTTAAGTTCTCATTAGAGGTGTGCAAAATATTGAAATATTGTTGTATTGTATCATTTAATGTGATGATACAGTATCGATATCGTGGGCTGCTGTATCGATATATTGCCAAGAGTATTTTTAGTTATATTTTACTAAATTATGTTGTGTAAGAGCTACAGTTGTGTTGACATTTTCACTGTTTTGTGTAAAATGGATGTTTTTCGTATAGGGGTGTAACGATATCCAAATGTAATGTTACGATACTGTCACAGTATGAGCCTCACGATACGATATTTATTGTGATATCGTGGGGACATGGAGGGGAGGCTCACAATTAGGGATGTAACAATATCCAAATCTCTCGGTATGATATCTATTGTGATATTTATTTTGTGGACAAAACTGTTAATATGCTACTTTTAAATGTCATGACAAGACTTAATCCAAAGAACTAAGTCTTAAAAGTGTTAGAACTGTTCTCTTATTGTAGTCTGCACTGAAATGGAGCAAAGGATTATGGTCTATGTCAGGCATGTCCAAACTGCGGCCCGGGGGCCAAATGCGGCCCGCAGACAAATTTTTCTAGGCCCTCAGGCTTCCAGGTGAATTGGCCCAAATTACCTTGCATCAATTAAAAATGTACTTTTTACTGCAAGTTTTTTGAAAATCTACTTTGATAAAGCCAATATTTCATATTTAGTTTGTGGTTTTAAGAATCTTAGCATGAATAAAGACTGATGGCTCATTCTAACGTTAAACATCCACATATTTCAATTATTCACTGTACTGAGCACCAGTCTACAGCCCTTGATCGGCCCTCTGCTTCATCTGTGTTTAGATATGTGGCCCTTGATGAAAAAAGTTTGGACACCCCTGGTCTATGTAGTTCCCTCTGTCTTTTTTAGCTGTTGCTGCACCATAACTCTTCATTTAAGGATATATTGTGATGGTCCATGATATTATTGTGAGAACTTTGACGATACGATATTTTGGTTATTGTTACATCCCTATTTTCATATTAACTCTGCAGAAACTTAGAGGACTTAGTTGACTTTTAGTATCACACTCATGAGTTAACCTTTATTTTTCACAGAACAATATCGAATCGATTTGAAATATATCACATCGAACTGAATTGAATCAAAAGTGCACTGTAGCGAAAAACGTACCGTATCGTGGCCTTTGTATGGAGGTATATATTGTATCGGCAACTTCTTAATGACACCCAGCCCTAGTTATCATGAGGTTATTATGATTATTTCCGAGCATCTGCGCCTTTTGTTTAAGAGATGACAATAAATGCACAGGATTTTGAATGTTAAAAAACTATAATCCCAAACCAAAAGGTGAGTGGAAAGGGTTAACATTTCATATTTACAGTAGCTCTAAAAGTCTGATCAATTTTACACATGTAGATGTCGTAAAGTCATGGAAAATTTACTTTAGCTCATGAAAAAGTCTTGAAATTTTGTCAGTGAAAACGAGTGGGAACCCTGTATGTTACGTGTTCGCAGTTACTCCCCCACAGAAGTCAAACCCGCCTCTTTAGACAGGCACTGACAGCGGCATATGCGGAATTTCCGAAATGGCCGTGCGATTCCAAATATGCGGACACGGGCAAAACAACGGCGAGAACAGAGAAGGACAGAGGGGACACGGCGAGGATGCAGCACGCAGCAGGTGTGGCTAACGTTAGCATGCTAGCGTGAGCGAAGGTGACTGAGCTAACGTAATTGATATGTGACCGTGGAATGGGTTCAAAGCATGCGTGGAATACCGACTGCTGCGGGACCAAAATAGACTTACCAACAATGATGTGCTAATATGATTTATGATGTGTTCCACGTGTATTTTGGACATTCGGAGATCGCAAAGTACTAATTAGAGCCAAAAGATATGATAACGAGCTTTAAATTGTGGGTGAGACAGTCCGGCAACCAAAACTGTACAGAGAATGTGCGGAATCAACATTGTGGCAGGTGGGTGTTAGCTACTTAGCAGGTCAAGCTAAGGATGTTTGCTAATGCTAACGTTGACTGTCAGTGACCGTTTTGGAACCCCGCCCGATTTGGCACCGTTTTTTGCTAACCAAAACTCTTCTAATGTACACAGAACATATGTCACAAATAAAAAAGATACAAAAACACATTTATGTTGTTGAAAATGTGTTTATAGTATCAGGAAAAAAAAAAAAAAAGAAAAAAAAAAGTGTTTCTTGCGTGTAAATTGTGCTGAATTTTTTGATAGAATTCTTTACATTTACAGGAAGTAGAACTCTACTTACTGTAATTTTCAACATATTTTTAAGGTTTTTCTCACAAAATAAAGCGAATGTGTGGAATCAACGTCAACATTGTGGAAGGTGGGTGTTAGCTACTTAGCAGGTCAAGCTAAGGATGTGTGCTAATGCTAATGCTGACTGTCATTGACCGATTTGGAACCCTGTCCGATTTGGCAGTTTTTTGCTTACCAAAACTCTTCTAATGTACACAGAATGTATAACACAAATAAAAAATATAAGAAAACACATTTACTTTGTTGAAATTGTGTTTATAGTATCCTAAAAAAGTGTTTTGT